TATGCCTCATCAAATATGACATCTTTGCTAATGACTATCTTCTTGTCCTATGTATCCCATAACTTGAAGCCTTTAACACCTTCTCTAAATCCAACAAAGACTGCTTTCCTCACCCTTGGATTCAATTTTCCATCATTGACATGATAATAAATAGGACACCTGAATATCCGAAGTAGCTCATAGTCACTAGCCACCGAACCAGACTATCGCTTCATAGGAGTCTTTCCCTGTATCGCAGTGCACGGTAACCTATTGATGAGATGGTTCACATAAACTAATGTCTCAGCCTAAAAGGATCTAGGAAATCCACTCTGTGTCATCATACATCGCACCTTCTCCAGTAAGGTACGGTTCAATCTCTCAGCTACCCCGTTCTGTTACGGTCTCTCGAACTGTGAAGTATCGCCTAATGCCATGATCCCGGTAAAACTGTAAAACTGGATCACTCTTATACTCTCCATCATTATCTAAACGAAGAGTCTTCACCTTTCTACCTATCTACAGCTCCACTTTCTTCTTTCACTCCACAAAACTATCTAGGACCTCATGTTTATGCTTCATGGTATATATCCAATTTCTTCTAGAATAGTCATCAACGAAAGTGATAAAATAATTAACCCCACTAAGTGATGTGTGCTTGGAAGGGCCTCAAACATCTGTGTGAATATAATCCAATATACATTGGGTGTTGTGAATAGCGGTGCAAAACTTCACTCTAGTGTTCTTCCCAAATACACAATGCTCACACAGCTCCATCTTGCAGGTTTTCGCACCTTTCAATAGCCCCTATTTCGCCAATATTTGCAAGGACTTATCACTAGTGTGTCTTAAACGCATGTATCATAAGATGGTGATGTCCTCCTCTGTAGTGATAGAAGGTATTAGACCTCTTGTAACTGTCTTGTCCTTCAAATAGTATAGGTTATTTTTCCTGACACCTCACATCACCATCATAGAACCATTCATTACCTTCACAGTAGCATCATCTAAGATCACTCGATAACTTGCTGCCTACAAAGTACCAAGAGAAATGATGTTCTTCGTCAACTTTCAAAGTACCAAGAGAAATGATGTTCTTCGTCAACTACAACACAAACCTCACTTCTTTCAACTCTCTAAACACTCCGTCATGTATCCTGATCCGGACTGAACCAATACCACTAATAAGGCATACGTGATCATTACCCATAAGCACGACATCCCCTCTTTCCAGCTCCTCAAAACTAGAGAACTAATCCCTCCTAGGACAAATATGATATGTGGCTCTCTAATCCAACATCCACTCTGTAGAGTCGGCATAACAAAGCGACAGTAATGCAGAGCACGAATAACCTGAAGAATCTGAATATGAATGTTCGCTAACAGCTTTTGTAACATTCACTTTTGAAGCTTGTACAACTTTTCCCTTATTATTTCCGGTTTTATCCTTTAACTTTGGGCAGTCGATTTTCCAATGTCCCTCTTCTTCATAAAAACGATATTGATTTCTACCAACACTCTTATAGCCACCTCTATTCTTCGATTTTGAGCGGTTAACTTGGCGACGGTTTGGACTACGACCTCAAACTGCTAATGCATATCCCGATACCTTCTCGAAGGGTTCTTCATCACTCTTTCTTAACTCATAATTCACCAACGCTGAGGTCATCTTCTTGTAACTAATAGTAGTTCTTCAATTGATCATAGTGAGAACGAACGTACTATAATCATCCTCTGGTAATGAACACAAAAGTAGCATCGCCTTGTCTTCATCCTCAACCATGATGTCCACATTGACCATATCTGAAAGCAACTTCGTGAAGTTATTAACATGCTCCCTAATGGAAACTCCTCTCTTCATCTTGAACTGGTAAAACCTCTTCTTCAAGTGAAGTTGATTCTCAATGCTCTTCGTAAGATACTTCTCATTGAGCGTTTTCCATAATCTCTTCACCGACGTCTCGTTCATCACATCATAAACAAGATCCGGTATCAAGCATGACCGAATAACTTCACAAGCCCTATTGTTCATCTTTTACCAAACCTTGTCCTCTATGTTAGCTAGTTTCTCTTGTAACTCAAAAGTCTCCTCCATCCAATACATCCATCATCTGACACCTCCACAAATCGAAATTGATCTTTTCATCGAACTTCGGAACATCAATCTTCGTATTATTGATGCTCAGACTCTGTATTGCCTTCGTAAGAGACGAACCAGATGTGCTTGCTTCTCCAATGTTATATATCTAACTCTCCAAATAAGAATCCTTCAACGAATCCTTCGAACAAGCCCCAAGCCAAACCCGAAGCTCTGATACCACTTGTTGTGCACAGCGGAGCTCGAAAGCGAAATAGTGCACGAACAAGAATGAGGAAGATCATAATCAAAACACAAGCACAAATCACAATCACAGCAAGACAAACCAATTTACGTGGTTCGGTAAGTTGCCTACATCTACGAGGTAAGGAGGAGGGAGTTCTTACTATTAGAGATGAAGAGAATTACAAATAGGGTTACAAACTCACTCAAAAACCCTAAAACAAGCTCTCTAAATCTCTCACAATTATCCCACAAAAGGATACAATAATTTTCTCTCAAAAACTACTCAAATCGTGCTCAAATTAACCCTAATTAATCATGTTTAGGGTTTTATACAACTAGCAAATGAAACGGGTCAGAAATCTGAACCCTGACTCAAACCTGATAGGCGGTCGACCGCCAAATTCGTCGTGATGGACCGCAGCAAACGACAGAACCCAAAATTGATTATATGGTTTGGCGGTCGACTGTCAAAATCGCCACGGTCAACCGGCAAAAAATCCAGAATCTGTACTAAGTCGTGCACCTTTCCAGTCGACCGTCCTAAAGCTCACGGTCGACCGACAAGCACTCAAAACTTTGCCTACTTCAAAAAACCTGCTCTTCTCCAAAGTTTCCGCCATTTCTACAAATTCTTCTCTATTGGTGATCCTGAATTTCTATTCTATGTCATCTATCTTACAGCCTTTGAGATTTTCTTCATCAATATCATTGGATTCTCATCTTATTGATCTTGATCTAGTCTCGTACTGTACTCCTTCATCGAGGTTCACACGTTTCTAGTACAAACTTTTTTTTTGTTTAAACTCATGGTTTTTGTTGCAACGTAAGTTTGAGGGGGGGATTTTAGAGATACTAAGATATTACTCTTATTGTTGATAAATATAATTAGACAGTCTTATCCTATGCAACCATTCACACTTATCCCGTACAACAACTCAGATGTTTATATAGGCTATCACAAGTATGCTATTATAAACATCAATAAACATAGTTTTCTCTATACCTAACAATTCTCATACATATACCCAAGCCACAATCAAGCATAATCATGTACAAGGACCACGATACCATATACAACATTCACAGAAATATATAAATACACCAAAAGATAGTGGAAGTAATCGAAATATGATAAAGATCTCAAATCTCAACAATATAGAAGTCTTAGGCACAAAGGCCTCCATGAAATTATAGTGTCAACTGAAAAACAATGTAGTAATCCCATGAACACTGTGAGATACAACTGATAGTCTATAAGATACCACTCTCAAATCTGAAATGAACAGGGTAGCTAATTGCGAATTTAAGGGATGAGAGTATGTATGTCTAATAAGTGCCCGTGCGAGGTATCCAAATCCCACGCCTCAAGGTTTTGAAAAAGATGAGCAAACTAAATACAGATCTGAATATGCAAATCTAGATCTGTCAGATAGCATATTAGCAAGTGTGCAAAACTAAGGGAATATGCATTCAACACGTATAGCATAGATCATGATGACGCGTGAGCACGTAGAAGCCATAACTGATAGGCAAGATCTAGAAATAATTAGCATAAACAGAACTGACCATGAAATGATTAACATGTATGTCCGACATGAAAGTTACCTAGTATCTAGCATACAACACGGATATAAGCATGTGATCACGAATATCAGGAATCATGACATATACTGGGATGTGTCAAAAGCATATAACTAAGTAACAAGAAACAAGCTAACCTGGTAAGAGTTGTGCAAAGTGCACTGGATTTGTTTGTAGACAGTGGACTAATGACTACAAAAATTGTAGTTCTCCTCACTTTTTTGGCTATGGGTGACACAATTTTGTGCCACGCAAATGGCACGTGACACAAACGACTTGCCTAAATAGTGCATGTGTGGAGAGAATTTCTCAATGCATGTGGCAATCTGTTGCAACACGCGTGACACAAACATGTATCGGAAGTCCTGACACTATGATGTGTCACCAAATGTTTTTAATGTCCTTTTCTAATTTTTTATTATTTTTAGTATTTTTTGTGATTCATTTTTTTGTGGCCAAATGTTTTACTTCCTTTTTAAATAAAAAAAGTAGTGACAGGCTAATGTGTCATCAATTTTGATTGTTTATAAATATTAGGGACCCTTGGGTTTAGTCACATGACCTGTATTAGATATACATACATATATTAAATTCAACAGAAAATTTACATATCAATTTTGAAATATCCAACAAACTAGAGGATCATTAACCCAACAAAAGAAATTCCAAAAGGCTCTATTAAATAGTACATGTATATATGTATGTATGTATATGTAAAAGGTTGTGCAAGGCACTAGCAATATCTATATTGAATGCATTCAACAACAGACACAAAAAAAGATTGGCAGTTGCCTCAAATTGTATATGGTCCAAGATTTGGGGAGCTCTCTAGGTGCCCACTAGAAGCATCAGTGATACAGAATCCTCAGAATGAAATATAAAATAAAGTACTATAGAATTTTCTAAAATGAAGGGATGCAAAGATCGCAAGGAACATCCTTGAGAAAATCGTTAAACTCAACAAGACATTGTAAACAAGACACTGATGGAGATGTGATCCCATAGTGCATAGGAAATAAGCAGCTAAGTCTTGTGCAAGTGGTTGGTGACAAGTGAAAACTAACAGCATGACTTACCAGCATCACAAGTATGGATCTTGACTAGTGCTTTATGTTAGATTAATCGTGTTGCATGTTATTCTTTTGTTTTTACTTATGCATTTGATTTGGTCACTAGCTGGACCTATTCTCTAGATGACCTATTCTCTAGCTGAGCTATTCTTTAGGAAGCAACAATAGCCAAGAGTTTAGCAAGGAACCGTTTCCAATTTGATTTGTATAAAAAGGCACCCTAAGCCCTCAAATAAGTAATAAGTTCAATTCCAGTTTTCCTCAAATAAAAAAACCAGACAGTGTTCTCGTGTAATTAATTCTCCTCTTTTTCTACTTAGTTCTCCAAGCAGATCTGGTTCCTGTCTACATTTGGTATCAGAGCCTGTTGTATGCCAAAGATTATGCCGAAGAGCAGTGCCTCAAGCAGTGATGATGCGGCTACCTCGACAAGGCTGATGAGGGAGAACACCGGTGTCTCTCTCCACTATCCGATGTTGTCCAAGACAAATTACGCGGTGTGGACGATAAAGATGCGCGTGTACCTGCAAGCACAAGGTGTGTGGGACGCCATCCAGCCCGGAATCGACGTGGAGACAAGGAAGGACAAGATGGCGCTCGCCGCCATCTATGAAGCTATTCCCGAGGAGAACCTTTTTCTCATAGCGGAGAAGGAGACTGCGAAGGAGGCTTGGGAGACGCTCAAGACGAAGTATGTCGGTGCTGATCGAGTGAAGCAGGCGAAGCTTCAAACTCTAAAGAGTGAGTTTGAGACCCTCCGCATGAAAGAAGCGGAGACAATTGATGACTTCGCTGATAGGTTGACAGCCATTGTCAGCAAGTCCGTCGGGCTCGGCGGCAAGATCGAAGAAAGCACCATCGTCAAGAAGTTTCTGCGTGCCGTCCCCAACAAGTACCTCCCCGTTGTAACGTCAATCGAGCAATTTTGTGACTTGACAACGATGGCATTGGAGGAGGCGATTGGTCGCCTCAAGACCTTCGAGGAGAGGATTCGAGGTACTGGTGGCGAGGAAGATGAACATCTTCTACTCACGAAGATGGAGTGGAAGGCTCGTTTGAAAGAATCCGATGAGGGGTCATCATCAAACATGTCCAAATGTAGACAAGAACCAGATTTGCTTGGAGAACTAAGTAGAAAAGAGGAGAATTAATTACACGAGAACACTGTCTGGTACATTGCGACTTGGTACATTGCGACTTGTGCGGGCCCATCACACCGGCTACACCAGGAGGCAAGAAGTATTTCCTGCTCTTGGTGGATGATCTCAGTCGATACATGTGGCTGACACTGCTAGAGTCCAAAAACAAGGCATTGGCGGCCATTAAACAGTTCCAGGCGGGAGTTGAGCTTGAAGCTGGCCGCAAGCTGAGGGCTCTTCGCACCGATCGTGGCGGTGAGTTCACGTCTACGGAGTTCGGCGAGTACTGTGCGGACCGCGGCCTCAAGCACTTCCTCACAGCACCATACTCGCCACAGCAGAACGGCGTCGTTGAGCGTCGAAACCAAACAGTAGTCGCAATGGCCAGGAGTCTGCTTAAGTCCAAGGGGATGCCAGGAAGGTTTTGGGGTGAAGCTGTCACGACGGCGGTATATATCCTCAACCGTGCACCAACCCGCAGCGTCAACGGCAAGACCCCCTACGAGGCGTGGTACGGAAGGCGTCCGAATGTACACTACTTCCGTACATTTGGATGTATTGGACACGTAAAGGTGTTGAAGCGAAATGTGAAGAAGCTGGATGACAGGAGCACGCCCATGGTGCTCATTGGCTACGAGCCTGGATCCAAGGCGTATCGGATGTACGATCCGGTCGGCAGAAGGGTAAATGTGAGCCGTGACGTCGTGTTCGACGAGGAGGCAAAATGGGAGTGGAGTAAGTCGGGGGGTGACGAGAAACTGATTGCTCCTAGTGAGATATTCACCGTGGAGTACACTTCCCATTCTGTCGCATGTGATGGTCGAGACGACATGCTGACTAATAGGAGTGGCGAAGCGCCAGTACTTACTACGCCGAGTCGCGCGTCTGACAATGAACCGCTGACGCCGGTGTCTTCTCCTAGCATGCTTACACCGATGGCGACACCAGTTGCACCCGGTGGAGTTGAATTTGCAACTCCACCAAGCAATGTTTCGCCTACCTCGGACGGTGTAGTACCGCGGCACCGCACGTTGACGAACATCTACCAGAACACATCCGAGGTTGAGCACGAGTACGACGAACTGTGCCTTATGGTGGCCGAAGAACCTGGGAGTTTTGCAGAAGCCAAGAAGCACAAGTGCTGGCGTGACGCAATGCAAGAGGAGATGAAATCCATCGAGGAAAATGAGACTTGGCATCTCACCAATCTGCCAAGCGGGTGTCAACCCATAGGTTTAAAATGGGTTTACAAAATCAAGAAGGACTCGCACGGTGCTGTGGTGAAGCACAAGGCACGGCTCGTCGCAAAAGGATATGTACAACGGCAGGGCGTGGATTTTGAGGAAGTATTCTCTCCGGTTGCTCGTCTTGAAACGGTGCGACTGCTCATAGCATTGGCAGCTCATGAAGGTTGGGAATTGCATCACATGGATGTCAAATCGGCATTTCTCAATGGTGTTCTTGAAGAGGAGGTCTATGTAGCCCAGCCACCAGGTTTCGTAGACGAGAACAATGAGCAAAAGGTGTTGAAACTCAGGAAAGCGCTCTATGGCCTGCGTCAGGCGCCTAGAGCATGGAACTCGAAGCTTGACAGCAGTCTCATATCAATCGGGTTTGAGAGGTGTCCATCGGAGCATGCTGTGTACAAAAGAGGTATTGGCTCATCTAGTTTACTTGTGGGTGTGTACGTCGATGATCTTATTATCACAGGATCACATCCGCAAGAAATCAGCAAGTTCAAGGAGGAGATGAAGAAATTGTTCAGCATGAGCGACCTGGGTTTGTTGAGCTACTACCTGGGCATAGAGGTGCAACAGACCAGCGACGGTGTCACCTTGAACCAGTCGGCATATGCACTGAAGATCTTGGAGAAGTGTGGCATGGTTGACTGCAATCCGTGCCAAGTTCCCATGGAAGCAAGACTCAAGTTAAGCAAGGTGAGCACCAGTCCTCCAACAAATGCCATGTTCTATAGAAGTGTCGTGGGAAGCTTGAGATATCTGGTGCATACACGGCCGGACATTGCCTACTCGGTGGGGTACGTAAGTCGTTTCATGGAGGCTCCAACAACTGAGCACCTAGGGGCCGTGAAACATATTTTGCGGTACATCTGTGGTACTCGCAATATGGGCTGCTACTATGGGAGGAGGAAAGAAGAAGGACCACACTTGATCGGGTATAGCGACAGCGACATGGCAGGCGATGTCAATGACCGCAAGAGCACAACAGGTGTGTTGTATCTGCTCGGGAGGAGCCTTATCAGCTGGCAATCTCAGAAGCAGAAGGTGGTGGCGCTATCGTCCTGCGAGGCGGAGTACATTGCCGCTACAACTGCGGCATGCCAAGGAATTTGGCTAGGACGTCTTCTCGGTGAGTTGATGAGGAAGGAGCCAACCAGCGTCACACTCAAAGTGGACAACAAGTCAGCTATATCCTTGTGCAAGAACCCTGTTTTCCATGACCGAAGCAAGCACATTGATACCCGCTATCACTTCATTAGGGAGTGCGTTGAAGGAGGTAAGATTTCGGTTGAGTACATCAACTCGGATGATCAACTTGCCGACATTCTAACAAAACCTCTCGGGCGCATCAAGTTCCTGGAGATGCGCAAGAAGATTGGATTGATTGAAGTCAAGAAAATGCAACAAGATTAGGGAGTGATTGTTAGATTAATCGTGTTGCATGTTATTCTTTTGTTTTTACTTATGCATTTGATTTGGTCACTAGCTGGACCTATTCTCTAGATGACCTATTCTCTAGCTGAGCTATTCTTTAGGAAGCAACAATAGCCAAGAGTTTAGCAAGGAACCGTTTCCAATTTGATTTGTATAAAAAGGCACCCTAAGCCCTCAAATAAGTAATAAGTTCAATTCCAGTTTTCCTCAAATAAAAAAACCAGACAGTGTTCTCGTGTAATTAATTCTCCTCTTTTTCTACTTAGTTCTCCAAGCAGATCTGGTTCCTGTCTACATTAATCCTGGATGAATAACAGGACTGGGCACCTTCAGAAAAGGCTACTGAGATGCTGACTATATAAATCCAAAGGCTAATACAAGGATACTGGATAAGTGAGAAACAACTGAACAAAATGTCTCCACCTGAAAAGATGGATGTTCATGTCTAGATCACACATTCATCCTGGTTGAACTGAAAAACACTACTTATCTAGTTCAAGATGAAGGATAATAGTTGACAAAAAAGAAAACATAGAAGGGGATGAATCATATGGATTTATAAAGGAATCAGAAAACTCTACGACAAGCATGAGATGTCTATATGGAGATGTTTGTTTCCAACTGAGGTGCTTGCCTAAAAATAGAGCATGATGGGCAACTAGTCAAACTGGCTTATAAGCCGCTGCAACATGTTTGGCAATGCTTATAAGCCCAAAAAAAGCTCCCCTAACCCTGCTTATTTTTTTGTGTGGCTTATAAGCCATATAGTTTGATCAAGTAAATGTCAAGTTTACCCCTCAACATTTAAGACAATTACAAAAGCCTTTCAATATAGTAAACTCTTATAAACTTGGTTCTATTAATTAATTATTAGTCAAATAAATAAATAACTTAAATTAAAGTTGTAATAGGTTATAAAATATATTTAATTAAAATTATTAAGAAAACTTGTGTTAATAATACTCCAATGTTTAAATTTAGAGCTAGTCATTTTGACAACAATGATGGACTATAATCCACCAATTTGCCAAACACTCTCCTATTGAAAGCAGCTTATAATCCACTTTTCTTACCAAACACTTTGGCTTATAATCCACTTGGCCTATAATTCATTTGTAGATTGTAAGCCAAGTTCCCAAACATGCCCATAATTTTCCTACCAGCCATCTCTAAAGGGTTGCAATCATACCAAGAATACATGTATAGGTAACTAAAACGAGTCAAAGAAATTACCTGTTGAACTATAACATCGGTTTGGATCAGAGTTCCATTGCCAATTGACATGCCTCAACCAACCATCACACTTGCTATTAAGGTTTGCATGCTTGACAATTGTTGCTGCACATGAGTTGAACTAACTGTTGGTTCAGCACAATTTGTTCATGTCTTTGTACTTGTTCCTCTCACATTTTTGCTTCTTGCTCTTCCAAGCTTGGTACTCTGTCATGTTCTTTTTCTTGCTTTTGGATTTTTGTTTGTTGCTACTGAAGTTGACCTTGCATGTGTTGGGCATCATATTGAACTCCTTCAAAACGTCTCTCGCACTTGACTTTTTGGCTTGAAGGCAGCCTCTGATTATTTGATGGTGCCACCAATCATCCCCATCAAATTTTGTGCAGACGCCTGTTCAAAGACGCATAATAATTTGATGTTGTGCCTCACCAAACAGGTTATTCAAAGACTCGCAGTGGCTCACCAAATATGATTGAGATTTTTTCTGCATCTTGCAGGCATCTTCAAGGAACTCAAGCTCCTCACACTCCAGGTGGTGCTTCTTTTCCTAGCATTAGCGCCAAAAGTTAAAGCGTGTCACTAACATCAAATATGAAATCAAGATCACTTGCCTCGTAAAGTAAGGTGAATTAATAATAGAGGGTTGTGACTTGCAAATCCATCCCTTTTCCTTGCAAAAGCTTTTTTGGGTAGTATAGGGTGCTGTTCCAATAAAGATGTTGTGCGCCGCGGAAGTCCCAAAATAGACAAAACAATAGCACACACAAGAACAAAATAGACCACAATGCACACAAGCCAACCAATCACAGCAAGAACACAAGATATACGTGGTTCGGCAATGTGCCTACGTCCACGGGGCAAGGAGGGGGGAGTTTCACTAATCAAATCAAAGGGGAATACAAATTAGGGTTACAAATCTTACCCAAAACCCTCAAACAAGATCACTTGATCTCTCCAATAGACTCCAACAAAAGAAGCCCTAGAAAATCCCCTTTGGCAGCTCAAAATCTCCCTTGCATAAACCCTAGAACAGATTTGGGGTTTATATACAAGTTACAAAGAAAACGGGTCTGGAAAACCAACTTAAACCCAAAACCCGATAGTCGGTCGACCACAGCAC